TAAAAGGAGAGGAGCAGTAAATTTAATGAAGTGCTTCCCTCTGAGCGCGGATTGTAGTGCTGATACAAAAACCAAGCAGTTAAACTGCGACTGTCCGGTGAAGGACAATTAATCAAGAATAAGATCTTCTCCACTTTCTCTAACCACGTATTCAGTACTGGGTCATTGTCATCCTGGAGCCTATCCCAGGAAGTGCAGTTAAGGGATATCCTAGACAAAATGCCAGTCTATGACAGGGCACACACTTACACAAACACATTTGGCTTTGGACGGTGGGAGAAAACCAGAGTACTTGAAGGAAACTGGAGTAGTCAAAGCAAACCAGAGTACTCAAAAGAAATTGGAGTACTTGAATGAAACCCATGCAACACAGAGAGGGCATGAAAAACCCACATTCAGAGAGCAGGGATGATTTTCATATCAGTCGCAACAAATTATTAAAGGTATCCAATGATCTTTATGATGCTGATTTAAAAAAACTAGACAAAACTGTAATTGTCTCCTGTAAAACATCCTTGTGTTCTGTGCTGCCTGGGACTTGCTCCTGGTCCCCTGTAACCCTGACCAAGATAAGCAGTTAGAATATGGATGGATGAAAATGGATGGATGGCACTGTCTTTCCACCCACCTACGCAGTCATGAAAAATCCAAGGGAAATATCACCTGAAATCTCATATCTTATACAAAGGGGCTGGAGAACTAAAGATCATCCTTTTGGAGTATCTTTCTCGAAGAGCTTATGACTTACCAGTGTGACATGGAGTGACATATATAAAATGGTGTGATTTGCTGTTTAACTCCAGATTTTCTGGATTATTTGCAGCTGAAGGCATGACACGTGCACATAACACTCTACATGAATACACACTCAAATGTCCAGCACCAAGAAAAACGTGTCAAACTTACTTCACCAACCCACAACATGCATAGGGCGCATTATAACTGTACAGTATACGTATGTCAGAAAAATGTGATGCTATTATGTGGAGTAAATGCATGGTAAAGCAAAGTGTTTGGCATTAAATGATCATACCATCTTTGTAAAATTACACAGGATATAATCAATCCTGGTTTTTAATATACACTAGCGGCCAAAATTGTGGAAACACGTCCACATGAATGTTAAATTAATTACTTCATTTAAAACAATAATCAACTTGTGAATACTGAATTAATATTATATAATTTCATTATTTTTTAAAGTCTTTTTTTTTTGAAAATACAGATACTCATTGGCTGTCATTGAGTACCACCCCCCCCCCCCCCCCCCCCCCCGCCCCCGCCCCCGCCCCCAGACTTAGTGGTAGCGGGGAATTCCTTCACTGGACCCCCTACAGGACGGGCCGGCTGCACATTACTGTGGGATCTGACAGCGAACGTGGCCCAGCCTTAATAAACTCACGCTGGGCCGCGGAGACGCTGTGGACCAGGCGCCCGCACTCAGGCTGTTAACACAGCTGCTCACCAGACCTGCCACTCCGCCAAGCAGCCTGCCAATGTTTCAAGCCCTCTTCCGACCTCGCATTGGGCAAGCTGTTTCTCCTGGCACCCTGTGGGGGAATTTGTCATTTTGGTTTTATTTGATTTCCCCCCACCCCCATGGTGGGGATGATTGTGTGCACCATGGTCTGGCTTGCCTGCATTGTGGGGATGGGAACAGGCAAAGCAAAGGTTATGGGCACCTGGCCATCCTCAACATCCTAATCCACCTGTCTGTCTGTTGGTCTGCTTGTCTGTCGCACCTCTTTTTATATCAGTCAGCCAAAGAAAAAAGCTGGGGGGGGGGAGTGGGGGTGGAGCCACAAGGCACAGAGTACTTCCATTCACATTTCAGACTGAAATAAACCAAAAACTGTTCACGTGTCTGCAAGGAGAAAACTAAATTTCCTTTTGAGTTGTTTTCAAAAAGCTGAGGTCAACTTTATTTTAAACACTTTGGTAGCGATAACAAAAGCCATTGTTTTTTTAAACTCTAGAGTCAGAAGAGTCACTTGAGCCCAGGTGATTCTCAAAATCCCACACACAAATTTGAATCTGACGTTCTTTAGACCAAAAAAGTCATGCCAACAAATGACCGAAAGTTCATAAATAGCTACTAATCCGGCCTCTTGCACTTTTTTTTTCCGACTCATTACCGACACACAGCACAAAACCACAACCATTTTCTGTATACACACACGCACACACGATCATTGGCAGTGAGAATATTTTTGGACAGGAACACAAAAAAAGGGAGCAATAACGCTTAATTATTCCCTAATAGGTAATGTTTAAACAGAGTCACAGGAAACATGAAATACTGTAAATGCTCCAGGTGGCTTTTCAAACAGCTCCTACAGCCGCTGGTCAGGCAGATGACATGTTCAACAAACATGCTCCCTGACTTACAGGCTGCAGTGTAACTTTTTCGCCGGCCAAACCAAACTGGAAGCCATATAGTTTGGATAGTGAACCTTTTATCTTTTGTTATTCTTGTGTAACTCAAAGACATTTAGTTTCTAACCCCGCACAATTCAACAGAGGGCTACGGCAGGGGAGGTATTCAAGGCCTGCCGGTTTTCTGAAGCTGAGCACTCGCCTGTGTGGTCGACCGGTCGGATTTCGTTTTCACTGAAACGTGTCGGCGGGTGTCAGGAATCCTGGGCTAATCACGCCCGTTGACTTCCAGCGAGGGCCATCTTAGAGCGGCTCCTCACACAGGTCTGTCTTTGAGAGGTCTGTTCAGCGATCAGGCGTGTGTGTTTGACCTCTGGCCACGTGGCTGTTCCTTACAAGCACTGCCTGTCACAACTAGGAAACTGCACACTGTATTGATGGGGTCAGACAGCGCTTAGTCTGGAACAAAGACAGACACTGCTGGTGTAGGCTGTGTGCACAAATATCTGACAGCTTCTTACAAAGCTCCCACGGAGAATGAGAAAAGATCAACACAACATCACAAAACCTATTTAAAAAATCATATTTATTTGATTTTACAGTGCATTTCAATACAGATTTTTCGGTGGAGATTTTAATTAATAACAAAAAAAAACTGCTTGCATCCTCGTTAGATCTTTTATGAGGCAAAGCTCTGAGAAGCACTATACTTTTTAGGGCCTACATTACTGGCATCGTCAGTGAACGGTGTGTGTGTGTGTGTATGTATGTGTGTGCGCTCTACTTTGAAGTTTTGAGCAAAGGGAATTCATTCGCATAGGGGTCGCCATAGATCGATTGACGCTCAGAAGCGTTTAGTTATGCCTGCTTACATTTTGCACCAGTCAGACAGCGAGACAAGTATATGCATTGTGGTATTTATTCCCAGGCCCGGATTTGCACACGTCATCCCACAATTCATACGCCATCAGCGTTTTCAGTTCAACTTCATTTGCCCTGAACGCCATGCTTGAATGGCAGCGCCACACAGTGGCAGTCTGACACCGAAGCTATGCGCCCTGAGTTCGAATCACAGGTGCGGACGGGGGCGAGGCCGTGCGTGAGAAGATAACTCCTTCTGCAGCCCGTTCCCTCTCTCTGTGCGCCCGTCCCTGGGTGTGCGCCGACACTCTCCACAAGAAAGGAACCTAAACAAAAGCAAAACCGTTCTTTCGACACACGTGGGTTCAGGTTTCGCCCACCATTATGAAGAGACCCATTTGAAAGAACCCAAGCAGAAGAGCCGCCGCCTAAGTGGGCCGACTCTCTGTTAACGAAAACGGCACTCATGTCAGCCACGAGAGGCCTAGCTAAACAGGACCACACATTTGACCCGAAGAGATTCCGAAGTCCATTTACACAATGATTAATTACTGACCACAGGAAACTCCTGGCATGTCAGAGGCTGCACACTCTTGCTAAGGGGCAGCACCTAATTTCCCCGAAGCTCACAGATTGATTCTGTTGCCACGACACTCGTTACTCCATCCCCCACTCTTCCGGAAGCCATACCTGCAGTAGAGTAAGTCTTGGGCAAGTCAAAAATACTGTTATCGCCTCACAAAAGAGGGCTTTTGAGAAAGAGTGGAGAAAATTTTTCAGTCCCACTGTGTTGGCTGGTTACCTCACAGGACCATCCCGGAGAAATACAGCTCGCATGTAAATTTACAGTCTTCCAAGAGAAAAAAATTCCGAGTTAAAAAAAAAGAAAAAAGTCGGTCAACAAGTTCAAAGAGAAGTATATGGTGCTGTTTGTACCACGACAAACAACACGTTGAAGATCCTTTGATTCTTTTTTTTGGGCACATTGTTCTGCCTGGTTTGCCTGACTATCTCCCCATATTCCCTGAATGTACCCCCCCCCCGACATACTCATATATTAAAGTGGCCCTGAACGGACGCAGTAGCTCCTCCAGGGGGTGCCAGAGGGCCAACTGCCCCCACAGCCTACAACATCCTGCAGTCTTGACGGTGTTGCGGGTATATCTTTGAGGAGCCCCAGAATAGCCTATTTATCACAGAATGAAAACCATCACCGGACACATGTGTCCTATTCCTGCGGAGGAAAAGCAAATACGGATGTCAGGCTATTAATTAGATTTGCACAAAATGGCCACATCTTTTCTCAGCTGGGAGGAATGAGTGAGAACTAGAATCACAAGTAGTATAGTGATAGTGTGAGGTCTAGTGTGCAACGAGAGTGGGGGGGGGGCACAATTAGGGCTGTGGTTGCAGATGAATAATCATCTGGTTTGTAGCTTTGAGCATATGGCCGTTACCTTTCTCAGGAACATCTGACCAGGTTGTAAGCAGAAACCCCTGTCAAAGAGAGCTTAGGCACGTAGCAGCAACCAGAGGCTCAAACACTAATAGAAGGTCCTTTTTAGATGGTTCATGGTTCCACAAACAAGGCACATAACCAGGTAGTAAAATGTGCCCCACCCCACTGAATTTGCTCCTGACAAAATGTACCGGGGTGAACCTGTTGGTAGGGTTGCTGGACACTTCCAAAATATACTTATTTATGGATAATAAAACGAAAATTGTACACATGTCCGCAAGGAGAAAAGTACATTTCCATTTGATTTCTTTTCAAAAAAGCTGAGGTCAACTTTATTTCAAACAATTCAGGGACGGTAATGAAAGTCAGAAGAGTCACTGGAGCTCAGTTGATTCTCAAAATCCCACACACAAATTGGAATCTGACGTACATTTGACCGAAACGGTTGCCAGCAAATGACCGAAAGTTCAGAAATAGCTACTAATCTGACCTCTTGGTCTTTTCTACTTGCACCGTTAGCAGCATTAAAGTCATACATACACATATATATTTCTGCATACAGGGCAGCGACAAACAAGTGCACAGATAAATCGCTCTCATGGGCCAAGCCCTTCTCCTCAGGGCTCTCACAAACATGAAAGGACAAACTAACCAGCACCACAAGGAAGGTTTCCACCCCATTCTTTACCCATCCATCCAGATTATCAGACACCCGCCCAAAACTGAATGGTCCCTCAAAGAAATGAACAGGAATTTACAATGTTCAGAGGATCATATTTTGCCTTCATTTGTAGATTTGTCTGAACGTCAATATATCTGTATCTCTGCAATTATTTAACGTCTTTCGCTAACAAAAGAGTGTTTCAGGCAGCCATATAATGTCTGTCCTTGGAATCTGGGCAGTTTTATTTTAAGTGTTAAGAGGCTTCAGATGAAAATTAATTAAACAATACTATTCTGATGCATTCTTTTGGTATAAATGAAACGCTCTCATCTTAGATCAATGGCCTTTTGCAATATAAAATCAATGGCCAGGCCTCTTAGAGATAGAAACTTAATAGTTATAAAAAATGAGTTAGTTACTTAACACAAAACATTCCCTGACACCCCATAACTTTAAAGAAACTGTATTAAAAATACACAAACAAGACCAGATCGTTTGATGTAAGGCAAAGCTCAAAATAATTTACCACTCTTGTCTGCAAACTATTCTCATCTTCACATCACAGTTTATGGTATTATCACTTGCAAATGATAAATAAAAGTCATTTGAACTCATTTTTGTGTGTGTTCTTTTAAGTTTAAAACTCTTCAAAAACAGCAATATAATTCCAGCCACAGTTTAAACGTATGAATGCCCATGAAATGTCCATGTTTTCAACAGAAGTTAAACTCAGTTATGTTGTGCCAGAATCTCAGTCCGCCGGGCTCCCTTGTCTGTATCAGATGAGTGTGCCACGCCGGGGCGGAGGGCAAGGGCTCCATCCGGGTCACCTTGCGAGCAGGGCCAAGGCCAGCAGGAGCAGGGTGGCACCAGGCAGGGGGAGGAGGCCCAGAGCCCCACCACATTCCATGGCGTTCTCCTTCATCGGGGCAGCAGCCAAAGGGAGGACAAACAGAAACACCCGTTACTGCCTGTTCCGACACAGCCCCGAATGCAACGGAATTCTGTATTTATGACAAATCAAAAATACTCAAAATGCTCAAAAGATTCCCCCGGCTTAGCTGAATCTGTTAGGTGCATTAACCGAACAATGTAGGATGTAACACTTACGCTGCCCATTTACTTCTGTTCCAGTAATTACATGCATCTTTTGCATTTGGATTTGTGATCCATCACGTGCACATTCTTATGCATTATTTAACTTGTACCCACAGTCTCCCAACAGCACAGAACTCGTGAGAATATACAGATGACTTTTGGGGTCTTCGGGCGAGCAGTCACACCTTTGGGCACGACGGGGAAAGGGTACAGGGAGGAGGACATCATACCTCGGGGTGGAAAGGGTGGCAGGAGTCGGGGCGTCGCCGCTCTTTCTGAAATTTCAGCCGCTCGCATTTAAGAGATTCGTTATGTTCAGCCACAGTCAAAGAACAACTCTGTGTTAGGCACAGCTACAACGTTCACAGAAATACCACACCTAAAAAAATAATAAACAGAGATGAAGCTACTTCTATTATAGTTCATGCATTCCTGCGTTTCGTGAAGCAGCGTCTGTTACAGATCATCTCACCATTTATAGCCATTGTGAAACCAACCATCTGTCCACATTGAAGGGAAAAACGTTTTATTGTTTCAAAACCTCAGTCATTCATGTTCAAATGTCGGAATTTTAGAAAACATTTAGGCTCGTTTCATCTAAAAATCGGCACATGCCAAAGAAACTCAAACAAAGCTAATCTTAAAATTAAACCAATTTCTTCTCATATTTTCCCCACAACATTTTTAAAAAGGATGACCATTAAGTAACCAAAACACTAGCATCCTCAAAAGTATAATGCAAAGAAGTTTTATGAATTAATACTAAACTTGAAAGCATTTTTGTGATGTTCTACTTAAAAAAAAGCTAAACTAAACATTTTAAGTGGCCTTAGACATGACCATGTTGATCCAATAAAAAACTTTATGAAAACCCTCCTCTTCTTTGATCTCTGCCGGCAACCAAGACCATTGTGATAGTCGCATTTATTCATTTTAAATCACTGTTAACAGTGACCGGCCTGATATATATATATTTTTTGTATGGCCTGGATAATCAACAATATGTACTAGTATTCTCACTTGAAAGACTCATTTGAAAAAACACAACAACAACAATAATAATAATATTAATAATAATAATAAGAAGAAGGATATATATGATTTCAATGGGCTCCATGGTGATAGGCTTGGCAGAGTTGCATTCGCACTTGTTATCCACCACCACCATGAATAGGTTGCTGCTTGGGATTTGCTGAATTACAAACGACCTGAGGAGAGACAGAAAGTGCTTTAATAATGCTTAGGATTTGCCGTTCCCCGTCGCACACAAGCTCAGTGGCTGGAGCTCTCAATGCTGTTAGCACACATTAAAGGTGCAGTCAGACAGGGAGCGAACAGGCTGGCTAGACAGTCTGTTAAAAGGCAAGAGAGAGACAGGAAAAAAACAGCACAATCTGATACAATGCAACAGTCAGGTCTAGAATGGTTACATAATGCCACTCCAAACAATAACCTGAAGGATATATTAGTCAGGTTGCTTTCAAAGTGCTGGGTTATTCTGGAACAGCAGAGGGCAGCGTGGCTGTAACCGATCTCCATTGCTATTCCCCCACTGTGAACAGGCATGCAGATTCACACGTTCAGTGAACAGAGCACACTCCAATCACAATCAAGCTCTATCGGGTACATTTTTCTTTATGTTCCATCACTGTTATAATTGCCATTTTTTATTATGCTCACCAAAAATGACAAAGAGCACGTGAACTTCCTCTGGCGAGGGGATGTTACAAAAATAAAACGTGTCGGAATTGAAGAGCCCATGGCACAATCTCACTGAGGCGGGCTGCCTTCTGCCTCTGGCCTCTGAAATGTACTGTATATATGAGGCAGCAGATAATCGCGTGCTAGATGAATTCCTCAAAATTAAGGTGTCAAGAAAGCCGTCAGAATGGAGACAAAATAGAGTGAAGTTAAATAAAATGGGGTTTGTTTGAAAGAACAATTTGAAAAAAATAAATAAATAGGGAAGCGGACAGGTGATCCCGCTAGCCGCTAGCCTGCCCCCCCCCCCCAGCCCCGACACTGACAAGAAATTTTAAAATGGTCAGACAAATGTTAACGCTGGCTTAACTGAGGGAAGAAATAAAATCATTTAAAAATATGACTGTGTTCCAAAACACAAACAGATGTGGCAAATTATGAAAACCTTAATTAGACACTGGGGAATCAGGCGAGGCAATCAGACGAATCGCCATTGCTGTTTGGAGAAGATTTAAGATCATGCTTTTACACTGTTCACTTCCTACATACTATTTAATGGAGCTGGCTTCATTCCAGTTTGCCATGGGACATGCAGATGTAGCGGAGAACATTCTGCTAGCTGCGCACGTCTACCAGGCTGACAGCTTTAGCATCGTACCATTTTCAAGGCTAAAAAACTTTTCATGCTGCCATTTAAAACTAAAATGATGCAATTCAGCCGGTTTCTTCAGGCTCTGATTCACTAATGCATCTGCTAAAAGGTTTCCCCAAACAAAAGTTGATCTTTATTAATTTCTACATTGTATTTTTTAAATTCAAAATTATGGACTTTGGGTGTAACAGACACTTGATGTTAAAATTATTACTTTGTACTTGACATTGACTACAGGCAGCCAGAACCCCAGAAATGCTTTGCTAATGGGCCTGAATATTCCAAAACACTGTTTCACCCCCATGTTACTGAAATGTGGAGAATAGCAGGAAAAGACAATGAATTGGAGCTATTTACAACCAAAGTCTATAGGTGCTTTTTTGCACAAGGCACCATGTTAATGTGTACAAGAGATATTCCTTCTTAAAATCACAATGACCGACTGCATGCAACTGATGGTACCATTCAACTCCTCAATCCACCTTAGCACGCACCATGCAGGTCAGAGGTTTCACTTCAGGGAAGAAGCATCCTGGGGGATTTTAAAGATGCCATATCTGTATGAAAAAAACCAGCAGAACTGATGCTCGTTGAGAAACATGTGAAGGCTTTGGATGTGGACTCCATTAGATGAACCGCAAGAATTACCAAGGCTCTCAGGTTATTTAACTTGCAATCAGAAAAGCATGCATTTTAGAGCCATGCACTTTATAGCTCAGTCCTTTTGAAATTACTTTAATGTTGCAGAGCAGATGCTGCCTCCAAAAATATTGCAGTATTGCAGTGATATTATTAAGTAAGAAACAACCTGGCCAAAGAATTACCTTTCCCTCCCTCTCCTAGATGTACGCTGAAGAAACGTGGCTTTTTGGACAGTTTCCTGTCAGTACTGTAAACACATTATATGCCGTATTTGAAAGATTACTTGGTCTTGAAAACGGAGCTCATAAGCTAAACAAACATACTTAACCTTGGTTCCTACCTAACCTTTGTGAAACTGTATCTATGGCAGAGTACATAAATATAGTCATGCGTAAACATGACATCCATTTTTCTGTGGGTTTATCAAGCTCTTCCAGGCTCCAGGGCCTCACACGCCCAGCGGAGGGAAAATGTGGACATGTAACAGAGGAGAGGGTTTCTACTAAATATACAGAATCTTGGTCCTCATCACTGTTCAGGAAGTAATAAATCGAACAGTTTCATGTAATTACCGCCCAGGGCCAACAGCCAATGACACCACTCCGTTCAAACAGTCTGCACTCCCAGGCCAGACTAAATCGCTCTTTGGTCAGGATGTTATGGGTAAGAATGTGAAAAATTAACCCTGTTATTATGCTGAAAAACAGCTACAGTACTTCTCTTATGCTGTTCAATATATTCATAGCTAATTTTAAAAAGTAGGAACTTTTTTCTGGCTCACTTGGCTAACAATTCGAGATCATTTTAGCTGACTTAATTCCACAATTTATTGAACACATTTTCTGGTTCAGACTATGTTAAATGAAAATCAAAGTCATCGATCAATCATCTTCAGGTATGTATACTCAGGCGGTCCCAGAAGAAAACTTTTAAACCTTTGTCCCTGTTAAAATCTTTCTTTCTCTCCCCCTCACTTCATGCTTAGTAAAGTACTAAAATAACCAGAACCTCAAACATCTGCTGTTCTCCCGGGCTGTTCACAAGTTATTTCAGAAGAATGTTGAAGGAACATTCATTTCACCAATAACCTTTCTTTTCTGTTGCTTCCCAGAGGCATCTACCAACAAAAACACAACAGCAGGACTCTTTGCACACCACACTCCATGTGATGTGCAGATGTACCTCCTGTATAGGACACATGAAAGCTTGCTGTTGTGGAAGAAGGACAAATCTGAAATCTTGGAGTTTTTGTGAAGGAAACCCTGGTTACCTGCTCTCTCTGGTCAATGGAACCAGCAGCAGGGAAATTGGGCAACCAATGTGGAGATTGACAAAAGCCTTCACATGTTTCTCAACGAGCATCAGTGCAATTCAGTATTATTCACTATGCTGGGAACAGACACATTGACAACTGCACCAATGGACTGTGATGTGTTAGCAGGAGCACAGGTTGTTATCTTAGTGAGGTATGTGGCTTCTAATTGCTTCTATATCTTATACCCAGAGGGATGTTCTTGCTCTTGGTAGAGTATATCACAATGGAAGTACCTTCAAGGAAAACACCTTCCCATATTCTTCCCATCTTCTGTCAATCACAAGGATACATCACACATTATATATTTCAATATTCAGCACAACCCACATCCCTTAATGTCTCTCTCCTGCTCCTCCATAAATAGGTTAATCGTCACATGATGCTGAAATCTAAATGCTATGCTTCATCTATCCCATACATCTCTGACTGCATCCAGCTTGTGTCTCCTGCATCAAGCATGTATGGTATCAAACTTAACATAACAATTCACCAAAGATATGATACAGTATGATTTGGAAAGATTTCCCTTCAAATCTCTACATTCTTCGTGGCTAGTATATGGTAACAGCTGCGTCTCCTTTTGAGTTGTAAATTCCATAAAATGGATCTGAGTAGATGCTTGTATTACAGGCCATGCTAGCAGTGGAATGTAGTGGAATGCAGTGGAATTACAGTGGAATGCACCTTGGTGTTACTGTGTGGATGGCAGGAGGTCACAGCTCTTCTCTTGAGGATGGCTATGGTGTCCCACTGCTTTCACTAATGAAGGCACAATCATGACATATGGTTCATCTGAGCCATCTTCATAAGAAAATGCATAGATCATGATGATTATAAAAGTATTCGGTTTCTGAAAAGTGTGCTGCTTCTGAACTGTATACTTTGTCAGTCATTCAGAGGCTGGGGTACCATTTCATTTACCTCCATAATTTAGTACCTTTTAGAATGAGCATCACTCTCAATTTTATGCAAATGGACCAAAATGTAAGAGAAATTTAAACATAGCAAAGTTTGTTCAAATTAGATGTTTATAGAAGGTCGAATGAATAATTAGAACAAAAACTGTACAATTTTTGAACCTTGATCATTTATGCAAATAAATAAAAAACTATAGATAAAAAGAACGAATGGCAGTATTTGCATTAAAAAATCGGATGAGTTCATGACTCACAAATAAAAGTGAAATTCAATTTTACTGAGGAATAAAGCGATTAATAACATAATAGGAGGGTTATACTGGAGTATAGTAAAAGTCAGCAAATCTCAGGTCAAATAAAAATTGCATAACCACACATCCATGTGTGGAAAGTAACGTGGAAAGTGTTTAGTCAATACAGTCAATAAACACACAATAGACCGGAACAGCACAACCAAATCCACTGCTAACCAGCTGACTGAGTGCAACCATTGGAATATATGGAAAACACTATACGCTGGGCTGTAAGTGTATACACTTAATGTAAAGTCAATGCAGACAACTTTCTAACTTTAGCCTACTATACAATGGAAGAAACAGAAACATGAGGTCATCTGAAATGGACCAGCAGTTTGTATGGGAATCCCTTTTCAGAGCTGGGAAGGAGGATGGAGGGAATGGGCGCATCACGAGCAAACGGATGCAAAACCTTTTTTCCTAATAGGAAAGGCAACAAACAGTGCAAATACAAGCACATGTGCCAACAGGGAGAATGAGAGACGGGCATAACAATCAGTGTGAATATTTCTGCTCACGTGATACCTGGTGCCACTCCGTTGTCACTGTAAAATAACAGTATCTTTCCATAATACATAAAGATAAACTGAATTACTTTTTTTCCCAGTTCAAGCTCACTATATTGACAGCGACTTATAATAAGTATATATCAATTCAAAAATAACAACTTAGCTGCTATACCCACAACACATAAATACTGAAACAAAATCTCATTCAACAACAAAAACTCAATATGCAAAAAACAAAATAAAAAGATGCCGATTTCCCATTAAGAATAAGCAATTAGATTATTATAGCTTATTATAGATTATTATCACATATGTAAAATTAAGTCATAAAGTTTTATTTGCGCAATGGCACATTAATAATTTTCAGTTTTAAGTAAATATATACTGCATAATAACATTAATAAAGTGTTTACCACTAACACTTCCAAATCAAATATCCTCAAACTAAAACAGAATACTTTTCTCACCTTAATCGTTTTCCATAACACAAAGTAGATTTCCTCTAACTCTAACTTAGTTACACTGATTTAATCAGATTAGTTAGAATTTGGGGGCATTTATTCAGTGGGGGTTTCAGTGGCTCTGTGACCACATACGACGTATTTAGATTTACAGTTTAACACAGTGTTGCCATTCGCTGTAAATTCGTTAATGTATTTGGGAGCCCTGCCATCCTTATTCCAATAGCAGGATCTATGTCCCACACTATTTGCTGTACTTTAGCCAGAAGGTCTTTTTAGTAGTTTAAATATTACCTCAGCTATAATTTGTGACAGTACTGTTTTGATTTTCCTATATCATGAGCTTCTTTTTCTTCTTGGCACGCTCTCTCTTCGGTCGCCCCCATGACCTCACGCGGATGCACACACATCCCACTTTTCATATATCGTTCCCACAGCTGGAAGCAATGAGGGTTTATTCAAATGATGCACAGAACACCCCACAACTGCTTGACAAAAAAAAAAAAAAACTAAATTGTTAATGGAGACCACACTAATTTTCTCATTTCTGAAAGCGAGCTTTTTCAAGAGGCCCAAGCTAAGGACAACTCAACAGAAATTCAGCTACTGTGAATAACATTTATATCGATAAGGTTTGTAAAATTAATCAGTGGTTATAGGATATTAAACAATTAATTCTGTTTTTGGCTTAATTGTTTAATGAAAAGATAATTAGCTTTACAGCAGGATTCCCCAATTCTGGTCCTGGAAGGCCAGAATCAAGCATAAATTGCAGATTTCCCAGCTCAAACACACCTTAATCAGCTAATTACCAGGTTTAGTAGGTGTGCCTGAGGAGGAAAATCAGCAAACTGTGTTACAAATTGGCCCTCCAGGTCCAAAACTCTGCTTTGGGGTGTGTGTGGAACATTCATTTATAGTACTGTGATCTGAGAATTAAAATACCTATTTGTATTAACGGAAGGAAGGGAAGGCAATGGTGAGTGTGAGAGATGGTAATAGGAATCATCTCTACAAATATCATGACATGAAAAAATTTACCAAAAACTGTGCGAATTCTAGAACTTTGGTCAATTAACTAAGGCACAAGTTTCTCCAGTCCTGCACCCGGAAAGAAAAATTCACATCACTGTGGACAATACACAAGTACTGGGGGATTTTTTATCTCTTTTTCAAAGGAAACAATTTAATCAACAACTAAACCAAAGGGGAAGTGAGTAAATAAATTCAGTACAACAGCGTTTCCCAATCTGGTCCTTGGGGACCCACAGCTGGTCCATATTTTTGCTCCCTCCCAGCTCCCACAAAAATGTGAACTATCGGTGGGTCCCTGAGGAGCAGACTGGGAAACACTGCCATACGACAACCCTGCTGGGAGCTGAGACCAGGGAGATAATGGCGGCGACACGTGTTAAACAAGGCTTAAGGCCACATGTCCAGTCCGAGGCCAAGGTAAGCGCAGGAATCCCCTGGCGACCGGCGGATGGTAAGACGAGCTTGCAGAAGCCGGGAACAGCCCAGATATACAGTATTCCACACAAAGACTGCGGCTTATCTCATCTCGTTAGAATTCGGGGCTGTTTGGGAGAGCCCGCCCAGAACACTTACAAAGAATCTCTCAGCTTGACTTCCCCGTGCCCTGAGATAATGCCGAGGGTTTCATGTAATGGTAAATAGACGACTTTTCAGGGAAAGGGAGTGCAGCGGCTAGCCAGATAAATGCGTGCCAGGAGGCCAAAGCTGAAGTCACTGTGTTGATGTTGTCAGGAGGACACACAGGCACGGTGGTGAGACATCCCAGACCTCAACCCGAAGACACACAACACTGAAAAGCCAGCGGGCAGCTTCACAGATACCCGAGAGCTGAGGGACCTGCTCACCTGAGATAAAGCACTTTGAAATCGGGTCTCCCATTAGTAGGTTGAACTATTTAAATGAGAATTCACATCGTATTTTTCTCCAGGACTAATCCAACTGCTTATCCAGTAGAGGGCTGCGGAGTCAATCTGGAGAGCTGCCCAGTAACAACGGGGAGCAACGACGGGAACCACCTTGGACCGGCGCCAGTCAGACGGGCACTTTTTAACCCAAATCACTGAATGTGAAGTTCTTAGATCGTGTAAAGAGGCCACATACTTAAGTTAATACAAAGTTAGTAAATTCCTGTGCAAATGCCTATTAAGTTAATAAGTTATGGTTTAACTGAAATAGTGCCTATGTGGTAATAATCTGAAGAAAAGTCATTTTATAGATAATGAATTCACCGAAAACTTTATCCTTTCCCTCTTTAAATCATTTGACACACCAAAATAATATTTAGCAAATTATGCCTTGCTTTTCATAAAATTCTGAGTATACACACATTTAAAGATCCACCTGTTCTCCTGGGAACACGGTAATAAAATTCACATCTATTCATATTGTGTATTCCACCTTTTTGGACATTATCTGCATGGATTAAAGCGAGTCGGTGTATAATGCCAATCAGTACACAATTGTATATGATGTAATGTGAGGCCACACCTAGTCTTAAAGAAAGGAGTATTGATTCGTGAACCAAAGCATTAAAAACACACCACCTCTGCATCTCACACGCAGCACAGGATTAATTTTACGTCTGTTATATATGGAGCGTAACCAGGGAATAGCTGTTGCTTATCCCCAGAGCTGGGTTTTCCCAGAATGCCCAGCCCAGCACCTCTTTCATACCTATCAGGTTGCATTGTTCTGTATGGGTGATGTCTACTGTTTTGTCTAAACTCTTGGGTTGAATCAGGTCCATCACCTGGTTCACTCTGGGCTCTGGGTTTGCATAGGGAAAGGAGAATCATATAGTGGTAGTGGTAGGGGGGCGGGGGGACCCCTTTGGGGGTGTCAGAGATGCCTGCTGCCAAACAGCTGTGGGCCCCGGTGCACTTTAAGGACTGAGTGATTGATTCAGGACAACATTGCTGCAGGGGAAATGCTAGCACCTGAAAGGCAACCCGGCGGACGAAGACATACTGCTAACATGCTTAAGGTGCGTTACGAGGCCCCCGCACGCTGCCAGCCAACAGTGAAAAACGGAGACAAAAAAAAAAAAAAAAAAAAAGATAAACACTGCCAGCGATGTTAAGTATTTCTAAACTATGCCCTCCCTTCAGCATAACACATAAAAATGACTGAGGACAAAACTGAACACGCACCACCACCACAGACAGCCAAGAGAAAATGGCGATAATCGCGCAGTGGGGAGAGTTTGCAGGATGAAATGTTTGCGACTGTGAGACAACTGCAGCAAATAAAACATGACGGAGCAGGATGGGCGCCTTTCTACAGCATTCCGCGACGAGCGGCTGAAAGCACAGGCCTCCGTTTTTTTTCCCCAAGAAGCCGAAACTGGGAAAGAAGGAAATGAGGCAAATGTAATAAAAAAAAAAAAACTCTAAGTAATGCGGTAGTTAACCGTACTGATGGAAAAGCACTCATTGGCATGCAGATTAGCCGACTGTGTTTTACGGTCCGTTCCTTTGAGTGCGTGTACAAGTAGGTCCCCGTGCACATGCGAGTCACGCACCAACAGGTGCAGCGATGGGCACTGGACTGACATGTGCACAGTGGGAGGGGGGGTAGGAACATAATAAATAAACATTTACACACTTCAAGCATCCCTCGCAGTCGATGTTCCCAGTGGTCTCCTTGATCGTGCGCTCGGAGACAAAGGCCGGGTACTCAGTGTCGCACGGCACCACCATGGTCCTGCCGCTCCGCTGGGCTGCGGATAGAACGCAGAAACGAGAGGCGCACGGGTCACGAGAACGAGCAGGGCAGGACGACGGCGGCCACACTGGGAAATCTGCAGCTATTTCACAAGTAGTGGGAAAAAAAAACAAAAAAGTGTTTCACATTTCGATTTAATTATATATTTCATTTGACTCACTCTTTAGCCAAACAGTGAAAACAAACTAATAAAATTAACACTCAAATAGTTCCCCAATAAATAAAACAAGGACAAGCATGCTAAATAAAAAGACAGGCAAACTAAGACCACAGGACAAAGAAAACTTTTCTGACCTCAAACAGCTATTATTAGTTTCAAGATGCTGCCACCTAGTGCTAATTTAGTTAAATTACAAGCTGTTACTAATATTACTACACTGGATACAAGTCTGTCAGGTCATCTGAGCCATACTGGCATAGATAAATAGATTACAAGGATTATAGTTTCCTCTCAACAAACTGATCCTTCTGGAAGACAAGCTGCATAAACAGGAAACACCCCTGCTTGCATATAAGTGTATTCTAACCTGATACAAAGCATACACTGAAGTCTATGTTGAATTGTTCTATAGAGGAAAACGTGATATAGGCAAAACACATTTTTGTGGCTGCATTAAACATCTAAAAGCCACAAGACTATGCTTGTACCTGGCTGTATTAAAAATGCATCACATCAGCAAGCTCATCTTAAGCAAACATTCAAATTGCAATCAAAGGGAGGCTTGAACATTTCAAAGGAGCCCGTTTCTATGCAGGTATTTTAATGACTGCAGAGCGCGTTCAGGTCCAGAGGGCTACAGAACCACATGCCAGCAGGATGGAGAACCAGCAGAGCGGCTTATGATTGCTGAGAAGGCTCATGACTGCAATCTCTGGATTAGTTTATGTGTCTCCATCGCAGACGACTCACAGTCAAAATGGGCTCCCAAAAATTGGGTTTCCATCATTCTCCGGCAGGGTTAAGACAGCGAGGAGCCGCATTCGGTGGGATGGGAAACTGTGCCTTCCCCTGACCAGAGGTGGGTAGTTCAGGTCCAGGAGAGTAAAAGTCCAGATCAAGATTTTGCTTCAACCAACCAGGTGAGTACTCCGTGATTGTTACTCTTTATGTTCAACTGGTTTATTGAAACAAAATCTT